CTGTGTTCTGTTAGACAGGTAACTCTTTATCCACAATATTTCAGGGGGTGTAAAGCCATAACACATACGTTTTTCCAGCAACAGACTATGATTGATAATGTCAAAAGCCGCGCTGAAGTCTAACAAAACAGCCCCCACAATCTTTGAATCATCAATTTCTCACAGCAAATGTTCAGTCATTTGTGTAAGTGCTGTGCTTGTTGAATGTCCTTCCCTATAAGTATGCTGAAAGTCTGTTGTCAATTTGTTTACTGTGAAATAGCATTTTATCTGGTCAAACACAATTTTTTCCAAAAGTTTACTAAGGGTTGGTAACAGGCTGATTGGTCGGCTATTTGAGCCAGTTAAGGGGTTTTTACTATTCTTAGGTAGGGAAAAACTTTTGCTTCCCTCCAGGCCTGAGGCCACACACTTTCTAGTAGGCTTAAATTGAAGATATGGCAAATAGGAGTGGCAATATCGTCCGCTATTATCCTCAGTTGTCAGACCCCGGTGGCTTGTCATTGCTGATTGACAATAATATTTTTTTCACCTCTTCCACACTTCCTTTACGGAATTCAAAATTACAATGCTTGTCTTTCATAATTTGGTCAGATATACTTGGATGTGTAGTGTCAGTGTTTGTTGCTGGCATGTCATGCCTAAGTTTGCTAATCTTGCCAATTAAAAAATCATTAAAGTAGTTGGCAATATTAGTGGGTTTTGTGATGAATGAGACATCTGAATCAATTAATGATGGAGAGGAGTTTGTCTTTTTGCCCAACATTTAATTGAAGGTGCTCCAAAGCTTTTTACTATCATGTTTTATGTCATTTGTCTTTGTTTCATAGTGTAGTTTCTTCTTCTTTTTATTCAGTTTAGTCACATGATTTCTCAATTTGCAGTACGTTTGCCAATCGGTTGTACAGCCAGACCTATTTGCCATCTCTTTTGCCTCATCCCTCTGAACCATACCATTTTTCAATTCCTCATCAATACATAGGGATTTAAGAGTTTTTACAGTCATTTTCTTAATGGCTGCATGCTTATTAGTAACTGGGATAAGCAATTTCATAAATGTGTCAAGTGCAGCATCTGGTTGCTCGTCATTACACACCACAGACCAACAAATATTCTTCACATCAACAACATAGGAATCGCTACAGAATTTATTGTATGACCTCTTATACACAATATTAGGCCCAGCCTTTGGAACTTTGGTTTTCCTAGACATGGCTACTATATTGTGATCACTACATCCGATGGATTTGGATACTGCTTTCAAACTAATTTCTGCAGCATTAGTAAAGATATGATCAATACATGTTGATGATTTCATTCCTGTACTGTTTGTAACTGCCCTGGTAGGTTGATTGATAACTTGAACCAGGTTGCAGGCACTAGTTACAGTTTGAAGCTTTCTCTTGAGTGGGCAGCCTGATGAAAGCCAGTCAATATTTACAGTGAGGGAAAAAAGTATTTGATCCCACTGACAAAGAAATTATCAGTCTATAATTTTAATGGTAGGTTTATTTGAACAGTGAGAGACAGAATAACAACAAAAAAATCCAGAAAAACGCATGTCAAAAATGTTAAAAATTGATTTGCATTTTAATGAGGGAAATAAGTATTTGACCCCCTCTCAATCAGAAAGATTTCTGGCTCCCAGGTGTCTTTTATGCAGGTAACGAGCTGAGATTAGGAGCACACTCTTAAAGGGAGTGCTCCTAATCTCAGTTTGTTACCTGTATAAAAGACACCTGTCCACAGAAGCAATCAATCAATCAGATTCCAAACTCTCCACCATGGCCAAGACCAAAGAGCTCTCCAAGGATATTAGGGACAAGATTGTAGACCTACACAAGGCTGGAATGGGCTACAAGACCATCGCCAAGCAGCTTGGTGAGAAGGTGACAACAGTTGGTGCGATTATTCTCAAATGGAAGAAACACTAAAGAACTGTCAATCTCCCTCGGCCTGGGGCTCCATGCAAGATCTCACCTCGTGGAGTTGCAAGGATCATGAGAACGGTGAGGAATCAGCCCAGAACTACACGGGAGGATCTTGTCAATGATCTCAAGGCAGCTGGGACCATAGTCACCAAGAAAACAATTGGTAACACACTACGCCGTGAAGGACTGAAATCCTGCAGTGCCCGCAATGTCCCCCTGCTCAAGAAAGCACATATACAGGGCCGTCTGAAGTTTGCCAATGAACATCTGAATGATTCAGAGGAGAACTGGGTGGAAGTGTTGTGGTCAGATGAGACCAAAATCGAGCTCTTTGGCATCAACTCAACTCACCGTGTTTGGAGGAGGAGGAATGCTGCCTATGACCCCAATAACACCATCCCCACCATCAAACATGGAGGTGGAAACATTATGCTTTGGGGGTGTTTTTCTGCTAAGGGGACAGGACAACTTCACCGCATCAAAGGGACGATGGACCGTCAAATCTTGGGTGAGAACCTCCTTCCCTCAGCCAGGGCATTGAAAACGGGTCGTGGATGGGTATTCCAGCATGACAATGACCCAAAACACACGGCCAAGGCAAACAAAGGAGTGGCTCAAGAAGAAGCACATTAAGGTCCTGGAGTGGCCTAGCCAGTCTCCAGACCTTAATCCCATAGAAAATCTGTGGAGGGAGCTGAAGGTTTGAGTTGCCAAACGTCAGGCTCGAAACCTTAATGACTTGGAGAAGATCTGCAAAGAGGAGTGGAACAAAATCCCTCCTGAGATGTGTGCAAACCTGGTGGCCAACTACAAGAAACGTCTGACCTCTGTGATTGCCAACAAGCGTTTTGCCACCAAGTACTAAGTCATGTTCAATACTTTTTTCCCTCACTGTAAATCACCCAGAAATTACACCTCTCTATTGCTATCACATACACTGCTCAAATAAATAAAGGGAACACTTAAACAACACAATGTAACTCCAAGTCAATCACACTTCTGTGAAATCAAACTGTCCACTTAGGAAGCAACACTGATTGACAATACATTTCACATGCTGTTGTGCAAATGGAATAGACAACAGGTGGAAATTATAGGCAATTAGCAAGACACCCCCCAATAAAGGACTGGTTTTGCAGGTGGTGACCACAGACCACTTCTCAGTTCCTATGCTTCCTGGCTGATGTTTTGGTCACACTGAGTGACTCCAAATCCAGACCTCCATGGGTTGATAAATTTGATTTCCATTGATAATTTTTGTGTGATTTTGTTGTCAACACATTCAACTATGTAAAGAAAAAATTATTTAATAAGATTATTTCATTCATTCAGATCTAGGATGTGTTATTTTAGTGTTCCCTTTATTTTTTTGAGCAGTGTATATTATCAAGCATTTCACACATGTTATCCAGATACTGACTGTTAGCACTTGGTGGTCTATAGCAGCTTCCCACCAGAATGGGCTTTAGGTGAGGCAGGTGAACTTGTAGCCATATTACTTAAACAGTATTTAACATGATATCCTCTCTAAGCTTTACAGGAACGTGGTTCTGAATATAGACCGCAACACTGCCCTCATTGGCATTTCTGTATTTTCTGTAAATATTATAACCTTGTATTGCTACCACTGTATCATCAAAGGTATTATCTAAGTGAGTTTCAGAGTTTGTCAGAATATGAATGTCATTTGTTACTAGCAAATTATTGATTTCATGGACCTTGTTTCTTAAGCTAGATATGTTAACGTGGGCTATTTTTAACACTTTTCTGGGTTGCTTGATAATTTGTATTGCTTTACTGGGAAGCTTAGCAGAGGTTACTCTGGTTATTTTTATTAGTGCAGGGTGAGCTGCACACAGTGGACTTCCTACTAGGGCACACCACCTCAGTGGTAACAGTATTACTCTGGTTCATAGGCATATGATTACTGCATACAATTGCTGTAGGATCTGCAGAGGCATTCCGGGCAGTAAGAGGGACATAAATTAGGTTATTTACATTGTGTCTTCCAACGCCCCTAGGATAATGTACATTTGCTGAATCATTATGACAACTCAGCGACACAATGGTAGGGATTAAATGAGCTGGACTTGGGTCATTGATAAGTCATTGTCGCAACGTTTTCATACGTGTTTTGGGCTCTGCACACTTTATTGCTTGCAATGTTTCGACCAGAACACATCAAACATGTTTACTTGCCTAAATCAATCGATATCACATACAGCATCTCAGAATGTAAACTCAGCATTGGATAATGCTGAGCGGGGAACTTGTCTCGCCTGTAATTTTCACATCAACATGAAAAGAGTCTATTCAACCCCACTGCAACTTCTGCCTACTGCAACATCTGATTTTATGAGACACCACTGCTTTTCACCGCTGCAATGATCTGACCAGTGACTTACAGTAGGCCTATTGTGATATGAAGCTTCAGTCCAACCATGAGGGTACTCAGCAGTTAATATGATAACATTGACAGCATTATTTGTTTTTGAATAATTGTTTTATTTATCAGAAATGGATACTCAAGTGGCATCATGGCAGGGGTAACTTTACAATGGAAAATATGATCACAGTATGATTGTGTATCAGAGATGATAATAATAACAAATCACATTGATCCGGATGATACATTTTGAAAATTACAGTCCCTTACCTACTGTAGACTTCACGGCAAATTTCGAGTCAAATCTCCAGATCGATAGAGTGGATCACTTAACAGGCAGCTGCGGAAGCTGGTTCCTTTGGGAATTCTTGTCAGGAAGAACGTCCAATAATCTCCTCCTGGGCTTCAGTATCTCTAAAGAACTCTGATACCCTGGTCAGACAGGGAGGGAGGGACGATCAGTCCTGTGCAAAGGTTTTGTCAAATGCATGTACATCTGAAATATTTTGTTAATGTTATATCCCGATAATATTCACAATAGATGTGAACAAAACATTGAAATCCTCTCTAATACCTGATTACCTAATGAGAGATATTCTGAGGCTTTACCTTTTGAGAACTGTAGTGGTTTACCTTTTGAACTAAATATGCTCTTCTTGCTTTCCCCTTTTTATTCTTTAGGGTCTGGACGAAGGCTGAAGGGACCAGAGCCTGACACTGTGGATAATTCAGTGAGTGGCTCTACTGATATGGCAAACCTATTGTTTGCATGTGTGGACATCATGTGAATACTAAAAACTATGGGAAAGACACACAACTCATTTGAATGAATCTCCATATAGCAACAAAAGGAACTTACTTTTAACATATTTTTGTTCTAGATATGTGAAGAGCCATCTGAGTTTATAGAGGGGGAGAGACCTCGCCCTCAAGGATCCTCCCCTGTAGATGAATACCCTGAGACTGACAAATACAAGGACATTGATAAACAGGTACAATGCTGTATATTTCATCCAGCCATCATGTTGACTTGTTGTGTGAATTTTGTCAGACCCTCTGATTTCTTTAACATTCATTTTAGGGTGGAGGTGGGAGTGGCAAAAAAGGAAAGAGAGGTTTTGGATCCCTGTTTGAAAAGCGCTCCCCTGCCAAGATGAGTCAACTGGAGGTCAGACAAGTCTGCATTATCTTTAAATCATGGAGAAGCATGGCTTCAGGTTTTCATTGGTGGTACATAACATGTTGGTATTTCAAAATGTCTTCGTTTTTTTCCCCTTCTTTTTTTCCTGAAAACTCAGAGCCCAGAGTCGGGAGTGATTGTGAAAATGGCAAAAGAGACATGTGCCGAGGGCCTCATTGTGAGCGGAGGGAAGGAGGGAATCTTCATCAAGGAAGTGAGACCAGAGTCACCAGCCTCAAAGCTTCTTAGTGTGCATGAGGGTAAGCAGACAACCAGCTCATACCATGTTCTTTCAGAAGCTGAACAAAAAAAGTAGCCTATAGACCAAACAGTTAACCTGAAAGCAAAGGACATATCGGTGAAATGTGGAGTGAAATAGGTTAAATGTGAAGTAATGGAGCCAAGATTGTTTTTGCTATCCAGGGTAAGAGACGCCCACATTTATGGCTTTGAATGATCGTATATGCTAGAGTTCTACAGTTCAAATGGTGATTTATTGGTCTTTCTATGTCTTCCTTTTGTTCATTCAGGTGATCAGATACTCAGTGCCACTGTGTATTTTGATGATGTTACATACGAAGATGCCCTACAGATATTGGAACATGCCCAGCCTTACAAGATGGAGTTACTTCTGAAACGCAAACCAATAAAGACATCCACCCTTGAGAGTGAACCAGCCCTTGAAATCATCCAAGTAACTATCACTATGATCTTTTTCTGGATATGTAGAGTAGTGTTATGCCTTTATCTCTTTTTCTCATTAAGCAATCAATCAACAATTCACTTTTTGTTATCCTACAGGTGGAAGAAGGTTCCTCTCCGGAAATGAGGGGACATTCAAAGACAAAAAGGCATGGTGACCGAATCTCTTGGCCCAAGTTTCCCTCCTTCAGCAAAAGTCAAAAGTCCCATTTTAAGAGGTCTCACAGTACCTCAGAGGCAGATGATAAGAGGAAGCTGGAGCTTAGCCCAACAACAAGTGACACAGAGTCGCCAATCAAATCTCAGGAGGCTGTCAAGGGCAAGACAAAGAAGCATAAGATAAAGTTATCAAGCATTAAGGGCCGCAAGAGCATGTCTGTTGAACAGCCGGACCAGGACACAGACATACTAACTGTAGAACGTGTGGAGGGTATGGAAAACCAACAGAGTCAAGATTACATATACTCACCGGATGGTCCAGAGAGCGCATCAGTAGAAACATCTCAAGTATATGTGTTAGAATCAGAATCAGAAAAAATTGAATCCACCAAGATAAGAAATGAATGCATTCTTCCAGACCTGATAGGCTCTGAAACCAAACAACACAAGGTAGAACTCATTAGTCTGGACAAAACTTTGAAAACCACAGACATAACAGTTGCTCTTGCTGATCAAGAAAGTCCCTCAACCAAGAAATCTCCAGAGAAAAAGAAGAAAGAGAATAAAGAGAGGTCAGAACTAAAGTTTACATTCAAGGGAAATGAGAAAAAAGACAAACACAAGCAAGACATACCTGTAAAATCATCCCTAAAAAGCCTTAAGACACCAAGAGCAGATATGATAACATCTGATCTGTCTGGACATGACAATACATTGCTGAGCCCAACTGTAGTATCACATACTGAGCTGGAGGAGTGTCAACTCCCAATTGATATCAACACTCGAGTAATCAGCAATGAGAGTTCAGGGAAAACTCTACCCTCCACTGATATGGAAATGAGCATGCCAAAAGTAGACATCTCCCTTGACATGTCAGATATAGGACTTATCAGGAAATCCCCTCAGATTGGACAAGAACAACACTTGAACGAAACATATGTTAAAACAGATGTGAATGCACAGGAAATACATGCTAAGGTCATCAGTATTACAATGGAAACTGACTCGCAGATGGAAATACAAGCTTCAAAGTTACCTACAGAGAGAAGCATTGATGATATTTTAGCACAAATTGGTACAAGATCTGCTCCCAAGTTCAAACTGCCGAGGGTGGATCTTGCTGACATTGTTACTGACAAACCCATAAGAATGACAGACATTAAGATTGTAGAAATGGACGTGAAAGGCCTTACAGTTGAGGATAAGGGGTTGAAGATACTTCCAAGCCGTGAGGATATTGAGATCCCAGGCATGGAAGATGCATCGTCAACTAGCACCAAGACCCCAGTGATAAAACAGCCTAAAACAGCATTCACGCTTCCTGTTGAAGAAATCCAGACTGTACAGATGGTTATAGATGTTGACAGAGTTAAAGAGGCTGTCTCCAAATTGCCAGGGTTCAAGCTGCCGAAGGGTGACATTGCAGGCCTGCCTGCTCATCAAGAAATCACAATGACAGACGTGAATGCAGAAAGAGTAAATGTGACAGTAGATGCCACCCTGTCTAAAATCACAGACATAAAGGCACAGTTGGACACGTATGTCAAAAAGACTGACATAAATGCTTTACCAGAAAAGTTGAGCAGGAGCTCAGTTACCACATTCAAATTGCCAAATAACCAACTTTCTGATCCAGGTGCTTATGAACCTATTACTATGACAGAAATAGACCATACAAAAACAAAACAGGAAGCTGGAAAGACCAATGAGGATGAAATCAAAATTGAACTCCATAAACGAGAGAACGTAGAGAAAGCTGGAATGGAAACTATACAACAAAAAGGAACTCCCAACAAAGTGGAAAAGGAAAAAGAGACTGGTGAAATTCTGGAACCTAAGTTGGCAGTACCAGTACCTGAGGGGCCAACCATCACAGCTGAGCAGAAAAATCGTATACCTGCCACTTACACTAAAGGATTAGATAAGAAGTCAAAGAAAGCAAATATTTCAATGCCTGGGTTTGGAATAACACAACCGGATATTAGATTCCCAGACATTGGGATTGAACTACCAAAAAGAGACACCTCTGTGGAAAAGAAGGATGAGGTCAAAGACGAAAGCAGTGCATTGCACCTTGAAATGAAAATGTCAGAGGCTGAAATTAAACTCAGCAAAGTACCAGATTCTGAATATTCCATTATCAAAACTCATGTGACAAACCATCAAACACCTACAATAGGAACTTTAAGCTCAGAAACAATGCCAGAGGTACCTTCAGCTGACATTAAAGGAGCAGGTATGGACATTGATGTCCAATCTGTTGATGTTGGGAGAGCAGACGTCCAACTACCTGATGTTGAAGTCAAAGTGCCCTCCGTTGAAGTTGAAATACCAGAAACAGTTTATAAAGATATTGATGTGAAAATGAAAATGAAAAAACAACGGATGTCATTCCCCAAGTCTGGAGTTAAAGCCCCAGAGATTGATGTTAGTGTGCCTAAACCAGACATCTCTCTCCCAGAGGGAAACATGGAGGTCAAATTGCCTGAGGTGGAAATTGAAGCTCCAGAGATTCAAGTGGAAGTGAAAGACACTGTAGGCTCCCCCTCAAGATTTAAAATGCCAACTTTAAAATTCCCTACATTTGAAGCAGCTGCTCCAATCGTCACAGTAGAGGTACCTGATGTGGACAAGGATATCAAACTTCATGGAACTGAAAGACCAGAACCCAAGCTCTCAATATCAGGAGAAATACATGCAGTTGAAAAACATAGTGACTTTAAAAAACCTAGTGTTAAGATCCCATCTATAGATGTGGATGTGAAGCGTAAAGGACTTGAACTGGAGGGACAAGGAAGCAATTTTAAACTGCCAAATCAGGGAATTTCATTACCAAAAGTAAAAGGTCCTGAGATTGATTTAGGTGTATCGAAGAAAGACATAGATGTCACTTTACCAGAGACCAACGTGGAGATCCAACCACCTGATGTTGAACTCAAAGTGTCTTCTGATGAAGTTGAAATGCCTGAGGGAGCTGCTACAGAGATTGATGTGAAAGTGAAAAAGCCACGGATTTCATTTCCATGGCTTGGATTTTCAAAACCAGAAGTGAAAGCACGTGAGGTTGATGTCAGTCTTCCAAAGGCAGATATTTCTCTTCCAGAAGGAAATGTGGAGGTCAAAAAGCCAGAGGTGGAAATGACATCTCCAGAGATTCAAGTTGAAGTGAAACATGATATTGAGTTTGAGGGACAAGGAAGTAAGTTCAAACTACCCAAATTTGGAATCTCAATGCCAAAGGTAAAAGATCCTGAGATTGATTTAAGTGTATCAAAGACAGTCATAGATGTCACTTTACCAGAGGCCAAAGTGGAGGTCCAACCACCTGTTGTTGAAGTCGAAGTGCCTTCTGGTCAAGTTCAAAAGCCAGAGGGAGCTGCTACAGAGATTGATGTGAAAATGAAGAAGCCACGAACGTCATTTGGATGGTTTTCAAAACCAGAAGTGAAAGCACCGGAAGTTGATGTCAGTCTTCCAAAGGTGGGCATTTCGCTTCCTGAGGGAAAAGTGGAGGTCAAAGAGCCAAAAGTGGAATTTAAAGCTCAAGAGAGTCAAGTTGAAGTGAAACATGATATTGAGCTTCATGGACAAGGAAGTAAGTTCAAACTGCCAACATTTGGAATTTCATTGCCAAACGTTAAAGGTCCTGAAATGGACTTAAGTTGGTCAAAAACAGATGTAGATGTCGAACTACCTGATATTGAAGTCAAAGTGCCCTCTGTTGATGTTGAAATACCAGAAGCAGTTTCAAAAGACATTAATGAGAAAATGAAAAAGCCACGAATGTCATTCCCCAAATTTGGATTTTCAGAAGTGAAAGCACCTGAGGTTGATGTCAGTCTTCCAAAGGTAGACATTTCTCTTCCAGAGGGAAAGGTGGAGGTCAAAGAGTCAGAGGTGGAAATTAAAGCTCCAGAAATTCAAGTTGAAATGAAACATGGTATTGAGCTTCAGGGACAAGGAAGTAAGTTCAAACTACCAACATTTGGAATCTCATTGCCGAAAGTTAAAGGCCCTGAAATTGACTTAAGTGTGTCAAAGACAGATGTAGATGTCGATTTACCAGAGAGAAGAGCAGAACTCCAACTACCTGATGTTGAAGTTGAAATACCAGAAGCAGTTTCTAAAGATATGGATGTGAAAATGAAAAAGCCCAGAATGTCATTCCCCAAATTTGGATTTTCAAAACCAGAAGTGAAAGCACCTGATGTTGATGTCAGTCTTCCAGAGGTGGATATTTCTCTTCCAGAGGAAAAGGTGGAAGTCAAAGAGCCTGAGGTGGAAATTGAAGCTCCAGAGATTCAAGTTGAGGTGAAAGATACCATAGGCTCCCCCTCAAGATTCAAAATGCCAACGTTAAAATTCCCTCAATTTGGAGCAGAAATTAACTTTGAAAGGCCAAGTGTTGACCTTAAAGACCCATCTATAGATGTGGATCGGAAGAGTCAAATACTTGAAATTGTCACTTTACCAGAGGCCAGCGTGGAGGTCCAACCACCTAGCATTGAACTCAAAATGCCTTCTGGTGAAGATGAAATTCCTGAGGGAGTTGCTACAGAAATGGATGTAAAAATGAAAAAGCCACGGATGTCATTTGGATGGTTTTCAAAACCAGAAGTGAAAGCACCGGAGGTTGATGTCAGTTTTCCAAAGGTGGACATTTCTCTTCCAGAAGGAAAGGTGGAGGTCAAAGAGTCAGAGGTGGAAATTAAAGCTCCAGAAATTCAAGTTGAAATGAAACATGGTATTGAGCTTCAGGGACAAGGAAGTAAGTTCAAACTACCAACATTTGGAATCTCATTGCCGAAAGTTAAAGGTCCTGAAATTGACTTAAGTGTGTCAAAGACAGATGTAGATGTCGACTTACCAGAGAGAAGAGCAGACCTTCAACTACCTGATGTTGAAGTCGGAGTGCCCTCTGTTGAAGTTGAAATACCAGAAGCAGTTTCTAAAGATATTGATGTGAAAATGAAAAAGCCCCGAATGTCATTCCCCAAATTTGGATTTTCAAAACCAGAAGTGAAAGCACCTGAGGTTAATGTCAGTCTTCCAGAGGTGGATATTTCTCTTCCAGTGGTAAAGGTGGAAGTCAAAGAGCCTGAGGTGGAAATTGAAGCTCCAGAGATTCAAGTTGAGGTGAAAGATACCGTAGGCTCCCCTTCAAGATTCAAAATGCCAACTTTAAAATTCCCTAAATTTGGAGCAGGTGCTCCAAACATCACAGTAGAGATACCTGATGTGGACAAGGACATCAAGGTTCATCGATCTGAAATACCACAACCCAAGCTGACAATGTCAGAAATTAACATTGAAAAGCCAAGTGTTGACCTTAAAGGCCTATCTATGGATGTGGATGTGACGAGTAAAAAACTTGAAATTGTCACTTTAACAGAGGCCAGCGTGGAGGTCCAACCAGCTAGAGTTGAACTCAATGTGTCTTCTGGTGAAGTTGAAATGCCTGAGGGCGCTGCTACAGAGAATGTTGTGAAAATGAAAAAGCCACGAATGACATTTGGATGGTTTTCAAAACCAGAAGTGAAAGCACCGGAGGTTGATGCCAGTCTTCCAAAGGTGGACATTTCTCTTCCAGAGGGAAAGGTGGAGGTCAAAGAGCCAGAGGTGGAAATTAAAGCTCCAGAAATTCAAGTTGAAATGAAACATGGTATTGAGCTTCAGGGACAAGGAAGTAAGTTCAAACTACCAACATTTGGAATCTCATTGCCGAAGGTTAAAGGTCCTGAAATTGACTTAAGTGTGTCAAAGACAGATGTAGATGTCGACTTACCAGAGAGAAGAGCAGATTTTCAACTACCTGATGTTGAAGTCGGAGTGCCCTCTGTTGAAGTTGAAATACCAGAAGCAGTTTCTAAAGATATTGATGTGAAAATGAAAAAGCCACGAATGTCATTCCCCAAATTTGGATTTTCAAAACCAGAAGTGAAAGCACCCAAGGTTAATGTCAGTCTTGCAAAGGTGGACATTTCTCTTCCAGAGGGAAAGGTGGAGGTCAAAGAGCCTGAGGTGGAAATTGAAGGTTCAGAGATTCAAGTTGAAATGAAACATGATGTTGAACATGAGGGACAAGGAGGTATATTCAAACTACCAACATTTGGAATGTCATTGCCAAAGGTAAAAGGTCCTGAGATTGATTTAAGTGTATCGAAGAAAGACATAGAAGTCACCTTACCAGAGGCCAGCGTGGAGGTCCAACCACCTAGCGTTGAACTCAAAGTGCCTTCTGGTGAAGTTGAAATGCCAGAGGGAGCTGCTACAGGAATTGATGTGAAAATGAAAATGCCACGGATGTCATTTGGATGGTTTTCCAAACCAGAAGTGAAAGCACCTGAGGTTGATGTCAGTCTTCCAGAGGTGGATATTTCTCTTCCAGTGGAAAAGGTGGAAGTCAAAGAGCCTGAGGTGGAAATTGAAGCTCCAGAGATTCAAGTTGAGGTGAAAGATACCGTAGGCTCCCCTTCAAGATTCAAAATGCCAACTTTAAAATTCCCTAAATTTGGAGCAGGTGCTCCAAACATCACAGTAGAGATACCTGATGTGGACAAGGACATCAAGGTTCATGGATCTGAAATACCACAACCCAAGCTGACAATGTCAGCAT